TTAACTGATTTTCGTATCACATTAACTTCGGACACGCGCCTTAAACATAATAAACCTAATCCTGCGAACGAGTTGTCCGGGGCTCCTTGAGCAACAAGGAGTTTGTATATAATATAAAATGCAATATATAGGTACACTGCACAACATATGCACAATAAACAACGATATTATATATATTATTGGACCCGCCGACGTGTGTGCGTGCCGCGAGTTTGAGGTCATCGGTGTCGACGGCCAACTGGCACGGTTGTTACTTTATTTTTTTTTTATTTTTTATCCCCTTTTAAGTCTCGCATACGTATGCGGTGTTTTGCAACGCCATTGCGGGTGTATATTATATTATACACGTGTATATAAACTCATACGATATACGAAACGCGCGGACCACCCACGACAACATCGTATAATATTTATATACATATATAGGTATTCTTATATACATGCCAACTGTCGCCCCGGACGAGAGGGACACGCTGCAGCGGTTCCGTACCTATATGTATTTACGTAGGTACGAGCGTGGACATAAGCGAAGATTTCGCAATAGATTTTTATTAATATTATATTAAGATCGTATACATATTATATATCTACTCACTAGCCGTCGCCATTTCAGCACACGCGCCTAAAAGTCGTACAGTGAAACCTCTCTATGACGGAATCGCCAGAGACCAAACATTTTTCCGCGGTTATAAAGTGTTTTCCGTCGAAGAGAGGTTGAAATTGTGTATATTACTTTCACTGGRTCTGTCGACATTTTCCGTTATAAGGAGGATTCCGTTCAATAGAGGGTCCGTTGTAGGGAGGTTTCACTGTACCTATTTTTTATAATATTATGACTGTTATTGCGTGAATTCGACGTGTAAAACGCTCTGTAATCGACGCSACCCGAACACTCTGCAGAGAACGCAAATCGTCCGCAGACGGACCAAAGTCGRCTGTGCAGAGGCGTCCAGCGGGCCATCCAATCAATCATGGAATTTAAACGCAGGGCACAACGCCGTTTAATCGTTCAGATAATTAGCAAAGCTCGAATAGACCTGCAAGAAAAGGAAAATTCGTAACGTATCGATGCGAAGTAATAGTTACATACCGACWCATCGTATCCAACAATAAATATGTTATTCCGAGACCGATAAGTTTAAATGGTATATTATATCGAACATGTAACTTCTTGAACGCTCGAAATACGTGATAACCGCAATACGTAGATGATACACTCCGATATCTTCCTTGAACGTTCTTGCAGTGTTTCTTCTTCTTCCGACATCAAATATCATTAATAATGATTCATTATAAATATATATATATGTATTTTATAGATTGTAAAATTTACTGAGCAAAATGATCAAAGCGATAATAAACAAYCAATTGAAGAAAAAAACGTTGGTCATGGCCGAGAATAGGCTGTCGTGAAATTTTGTAATACAGTCAGCTGATGTGAGATGTTGCATAAACTCGTGATGGTTTCAACTGCTTTGCTAATAAAAAGCTCTGCAAGTCCAATAGTGAGGGCTGTTCTCAGGAACCAACTGAGGTAAATTCTCCAAAAGTCTTTTTTAACGAGCAGGTCAAGGGTGCAGATGGGTGGATCGGTGGGTGGTAATAAGTGGTCGGTACGTGTCAAACATGATCATATTTAACAATGATGGTAAGTATAATAATATTATGGAAGGCTACGGGCAATAAATTAGTAAGTAGGCGTGTCTTACGCCAGCATTTTTTCCTCAGCAGACCATTACATATACTTATACTTACTAACTTGGCACGTCCACCTATAATCCAACTCCGTTATGATATTATATAATTAATAATTATTATAACCTGCGACTGGGCCGTATATGATGGTATATCGCAGTAGCCGCAGCGGCTGCACTTCAAATCCTCAAATATACCTTTCCACCCCACTGCAATATTATTTATTTATATAACAATAACACCCATCCACCACAAGCAGGCCACATGACTCATTGTCGTTTCCGCACATCCCATATAAATGTTCACTATAATGACACTAATTCAACGTGGATCGCCGGATTCAAAAATCTGGTGGTGATGATACACTAGGTACTTATATCACATTATATCGCAATAACACGCACGTCATCATCATGTCATTTTACATTATAATAATATTAACGCACATGTATAGATTATATAGTGATCGCGCTTATTTGTTTGCGCTCTCCGCTAAAGCAGGTCAAGAGTATTTAAATACTTCTCCTGTTGCGCGTATATACATAAGTATTTAAGTATATAATATAGGTATGTCCATATACATATATATATATATATATATTATATAAATAAAGACCAGATCGTATACAGTCCGCAGACGTGTATAGTATATTCGCCCCCACCCCTTCCCTCGTCATCGGCATGTGTACCTACATTAATATATTATGTGCAATAACATATCACTGCAGTCTGCGGTATACGGCGGAATAATGAAGTGCGCGCGTTCATCGCGATTTCATCAATTTAATACGTTTTTTTTCCATCTGTATTATAGTAGGTATAGGCAGATATCTGGCTGGCGTTCAAAACGATGATCGATACACATAATATTATTTTAACGAACCTCAGCTGTAAGCGCTGTACGATGGCGACTTTCTATRACGACTAGAGTAAACTCGCGAAATCATTATAATAATCGAGATAAAACCTCGTTTACAATATTGGTGCGATATAGGTGTAATATTTTAATGGTCCATACGAAAGATATTGCGGCCGTTTGACGAATTCATAACGTTGAATTCGACCATAATTTTACCACGAATCTGTAAGATAGCTGGTATTTAGATGAAAGTAAAGTTGTATTGTTTATGGCGATTGCCGATTTCGWGCTCATTTTTTAGTCTTCCCCAGTTATTAATACTCTGTTTATAATTATTGTTTTTTCGTATAATTTTCGTAAATATAGTACCTATGTCCTATGTCCTATATACAGACTAACAGAATAAAAAATATATGTATGATATTAAGAAAAATTAAACTCAAACTTCAAATTTGAACTTTTAAACTTGTTCTTATTGCGTTTCAAATGATTATTATTTATTTCACTATCGATTGTGTTTTATTTTCAGTTAMTAAAAATAACGTAGCCAAAATACGAAATATTATATTTGGGTTATTAAACACAATAAACCTGTGTAAATGTTATAAATTGTAATGACTAAAGCTGGGATTTGTATGCAATTAAATGTTTTTTTTGTTTGTTTATTTATATAACCTAGCTCCGCAAGTGAAAAATGTATATTAGGAAATCTTAATTATTTTAACAGTATTTTTGCGATATTTATGATAGTTTTGCATTTATTTTGTTGACAGATTCAACTTTTTAAATAATTTTTKATGTTTTCATAGAAATTCTCAAGTTTTCACATAGATTTATTTTTGAAACGGAYGTAAATTGTAATACCTACAATATGTATTGTTAGAGCTGAGCTGCAGCACTACCCAAATATCAGAAGTATATTTTAAAAATGCTTTTGGCGTTCTGTGAACTATTGTTACACTAGACGTAACCTCGTACTAAAATTGTATAGAATTCAATTATTGAATGAAGATTGATGCAAAAATATAAAACGTTATAAGTACTCGCGACAGCGGCTTATCGAATTTATGGTTAATCCTAGTTAAGTCCATCCYATATATATATAACAAATAAATAGATCTTCCCAATGCAAAACCACTGTGCATACCTATAATAATACTATGTTTTATACATTTCATTTTTTTATTATTGTGTATATAACATAATACGTATTATATGATTTTTTTAAACATTTCGTTGAAGTCGTTATATTATACGCGGCTGGACGTAAACCAAATACTGTGTGACGCGTGACAAGAATATCGAAGTGCACAGCAAATGTACGAACCTATATGTAATCGGCATCGATMAATTATTACCAACATATAAATTGTATACAAACAGTATACCTACATATTAATTGTAATTATATGACATGTTATATAATTATAAAATATTGGGTTTACGAACAATTTTTATTTTTTATTTGATCGAAACTGATCTTTGAATACGAGAATATAGTCAATGCACACATACCTGTGACGGTAATTAGTATCCGTCTTGCGTACTCCATCGTCATAATCGTCTTGCACGCGTTATAAATCACTGTTGAACGCGATCGCGTGTAAGGTATATTATATAGATATATAGAGACTATACTATGCGTAGTACAACATAACATATATTATTACTTATTATATATATATAATATACGCGCGATACTACGGTATAATATATTATTATTAAAATACTATATCGCAGTCAGGTGGAGGTAGCCACCGTATCGGTCTGGATCGCGGAATAACGTCGTCGGACTCGTGTCTTATTACTACGGCACAATCGATACCTACTGCAATATTTTTATATTATTGTTATTTTAATATTATTAGACGTGATCGGACAGTCCGCGGTTTAAGGAGAAGTCCGTGCCGTTATCTCCTATAGTGTTGTTATTGTCTATAATCTATCTACCTACTACTGCAATACATAATAATAACGATAAACACATACCCACACACACATATATCGTCCTGAATTTTGTAATGACATTTTAATCTCGTTCAATGTACATTGTATTATTTTAATTAATCAAGTACAAACACCAATTGAAATTTTTACGTAAACAAGTGGTTTGATAGAGGAATACAGAGGGCAACGATAAAAAGGCATACCACTATAGTATAGTATAATGACCATAAAAAAACATTATTTTATGACCCATACTTAAAATATTATAAAAAAATGGTTTTTCAATTCTGAATAAGTTTATTGTTTTATCCTTCCATTTAAAATGTAGTAACTCTAAACAAATTAAATTTTTTTTAGCATTTTGAGTATGGGCCATAAAATAATATTTTTTGTAAGCACAATCACTGCATAGAGTACATAACTTTTGTAAGACTTGAAATAGCTGGCCCTCTTAAAATAATAACTAGTGTGATTTTGTTTATAATATTGTCTTTTTTACCTTTCTTCGGATCGTGTTGATCTGCCATTTTAATTTCATCATCACTTGAAGGTTGATAAATCTCATTGGTGGCAATTCTAAAAAATAAAAGTTTAGGAATATGAGAAGAGCATAGATAAATCGTTGAGAAATAAAAAACTTAAGTCTTATTCAATTTTACGAATACAATATTGTACTTAAACTGTCGCCGTTCCGCCGACGAATAGATAAACATTTATACACTGTGGTCGCGGTTAAAGGGGCACGGCGCACAACACACATCCATGTTGCTATCCATCCGACGATCGTATTTAATTTTACGCGATTCAAGTACTATTATAATAAAAAATGAGCAAGTTAATGAAAACAAGTTACTCGAGTTAGGCATTTAAGTCCAATCGACGTCAAGAAAGTTAAGCTTATACCTAACAAGTGATATATATGAACTCTTAAGTGTTTAAGTTAAGATGGGGTAAAATATTAAATTGAATTTGTGAAAAATAATTTAATTTCTCTTATTATTAATTACTAGCATTCTATAGTATTCTTTCTTTTAGTACTAACTAGTTGCACCGGTTGAGGCAATTAGTACACTTTTGTGTTAAATAAATAATAAAATCAAGGAATATTTTTTTGTGCTTAAATAGGTACCATTGTATGTACTGATGAGTGATCATCATACCAAAAATAATAAGAAAATCAATTAGTGTAAGTCATACTTAATAGCTCATACTAAATTTTAACTTAACATTTTAATTTTTAATTAATTGTAAATAGCTAAGTTGTTACAATGGCTTATTTAACTAGTTAATGCCCATCTTAGATCATAATAGTATTTAAATGTGAYGGCTGATGAATTTCGTTCTATAAATTAAAATATTAACTATGCAGATTCGATGTAAAATTTACGGAGAAAAAATGGTTTGTTGGAAAACAATTTTTATAAGAATTTCAGAGGAATATTGAAAACTCGTGTGTTTCTTTTGTCAATAGATACCTAATAATACCCATATTATGTTCCTGTACGTATTAGACGGAGTTCAAAAAAAATAATATTTATCTAATAATAATTATTATTTATTTATTACACAATGCTTAACGATAAAAATATGATTAGTATATGCATAATAATGTTTTAAGATGATAGCATTGTATGCTATAGTGTTTATAGTGAGAATAACATTGATAGCTGTTCGATCTATTCTCAAGACATTCTTCTTATAAAAACACCACAAAGACATACAGTATGATAATATTATAAGGAGTATTGTTGTTTTTTTATTCTGTACTAATCACTGTTTTAATCTAAATCCTCCCAAGGATTTATCAGTATAATATAATGATTTGGATATGAAACAAACACCTTTTATGATATTTACTAAACATTAATAATTTTACTGAACTAATTTATGAAAATTAAGAATCGTAGAAGACTTTAAAGAACACCACTTTCTTCTTTAAAACCGTCCCAAATTCAATTCAAGTAGTTTCCTCCCTCTCTGTCCTTCTAAACATGGGTATTTCTCCTTCATATCATCAAGCAAGATATTTTACTCACTATATTATTATAAGTATATGTAATTGTATATTTTTTTATATGTTTTTATTTAATGCGTTCAACTAATTATAACGATAAGCACTATTATAATAAAATAATAATAYTGAAAGCTAAAACCAAAATTAAATTGAATCCTATATTTCCCAGTAAAAAATATTTGAATTTGCATTAAAAATAATGAAACATGTCACATATTGTAATATTGATCTATTTATAGATACTAAATGATTCAAATTGATTGAATATCTAATTTATAAAGCCAATATTAAAGTAAATATAATTGTAAAGATAAATATCTGTATTAACTATTTATGAATGTTATAAACTATTAGAAACATGTTATTGTCTGTCATAGTCAAAAATTTGTTATTCATGTTACATTAATAAAATTAGGATATTAAAAGTAAAAAAAAAAAATACGTCTAACATAATAAAAAAGTATAATAAGTCCTAGATCAATTATTTCGAGAGGTGAATGGGATCTAGGTGGAAGGCAATTTACAATTTCACTTGTATACCAATCAACGGTTTCCTTAATACAACATAAAATGCTTAAGCTTAAGACAATTTATTAAATTATGATATTTAGTTTTTAACTGTACACATTTAGTCTCTAGTGTACCGTGTATAGTAAATTAGTTATAATTGCTAAGAATCAATTTGTTGGACATAGTATTCGGGTAATGTGAAACAATTAATAAGGCTTTTACATTTTCAGAGCTATATTTTTAAATTAGAAACAATATATTTAAATCTTTTCACAAAGCTATAAATTATTTAATTACATTGTCATCATTCAAGACTATAGTATCCATTTTTTTTTCATTAGGTAATACAATTAAAAATCTAATTTTTAATGATCAGACATCAGTTAAAATCCAAATAAATTTAATGATTTTTTTCTTCTTACAAATTAAGTCATATAAATATCTATAACCTAAAAAAATCCGTTAGTTTACGATTTGTACTTTGAAATGTGTAGGGGTATTTCATTTATCTTACTTAAAATAATGAGTAAAAGAAATTAATTAACTAGCATATAAAATATCTACTTTTCAAGGTAAATATTACAAATTGATTTCAAATTTAATAAATATTGAGATACAAATTTAGTAATAAAATAATATACATTTGAATATGTATCAAATATTTTTAATCATTAATGAATCATAAAAAAATATAAGTTTTAATGACTATTTTTTTTATAAAACAATAAAATATAAACATTTTATACTATTTCAAAAATATATCAAGTGAATAAATTTATCTTATTTGAAAAATATTCAAGGTACGTTGGTACACAGTAACATTACTTTCAGCTGAATTATTGATCACCTAATTAAATATAAATATAAATATTTGTTTGTACTATCTTTAGATAGGTCTGTATTAAATACAATAGCTAACCTAACAAATAATATATTTGAGTCATATTAAATTAAYCATGAGATAATAAGGATATCAAAATATATAGTTCAAATATAATAATAATAATTAATTTTAAGTAGAACCCGAGCGGTAAACCTTGATTGCACAAATTTGTATACGATTTAGTGAACACTGAACACCCTGAATATCTAAGCAAGGAATTTTYAGCAGACATGAGTTAGGAACATAATATGGGCATCGGTTGACGGTTGGCCCGAACTTAACCGGTATAAACACATTGGCGTAGTAGTATTGAGATTCAATGAGAAAAAAAAATAATAATAAATAATAGGGTTGAAAAAATTAGGTTTTAAATAAATGAGACGGGTAGGCCCGTCGCCGGTGGGTGAGTAGGAAGTTATTGGTTTRCGCTCTTACGCGAAAACATCGTCGTCATCGTTCTCATTGGGGTAGTCATCGTCTACGGTTGCAGTGGCTGCGTCGACTACTGTTTGTGGCGGTTCGTCTTTGTGCACGAAATCGACAAGCCTGGGCGGCAACCGGTAAGCGGGCGGTGGCGGCGAAGACGGAAGTGGTGGCGGAGGCGGTGGCGGCTTCTTCTTGGGCGGTCGCACTTCCTTCCGGGGAAGAGGTTTGGGTGGCAGCCGGTCCTCTTCRGCCACGGCCRCCAGCTTCTCGTACAGACCCACGTCGTCGCCGATGGCCGCGCTCGATGAAAACTCTCGTTCTAGCTGCATGAACGGCTCCAGCACCCTGTCCAGCACGCAGTTCTTGTCGCTGCCGCCATTGATAACGCCGTCGCCTCCGGCGCAGTCTTCGCCGACGGACGATTCTGCGGGGTACTTGGACACCACTGTAGAAACGCTGCTGTTGGTGTCATCCGATTCCGATTCGCCGTGATAAACGAATAACCTATATAACATGAACACATTTTTGTGATTATTATACTTATAATAATGTAATATATTTATACAATATGTTTATAGGTTSGGGTGGCGGTGGTATGATGAGACACCTAACCTGTAAATCATTTTCAATGATACTTTTTTTAATAAATGATAAGTGTTGAAGTACCCACCACTCTGCACTCCTACAAAATTTTAATTTTTCAACTTAAAAAAAAATATTTTCCTTTCTCCAAAAAAGTCATGATTTTGAATTTTCCATCTAATTTATAGTAATATTCGAGACATTGTGTGGGACTAACTAGATCATAAAAATTTAGGTAGGTTTATTTATTAAATAGCTTAAAAAATATTATATTTTTTTTTTAAGTAATATTATTTATTTAATTAACAATCAGTCTCAACTTTAAGACTTTATTACTAGACATTTTTAGACTAGTCAATATTTTTAAATTATTCATAAATATACTATCAACAATTAGTAATGTGCCACCATTTGCGAGTATGGACGCAATAATTGAATTAAAAATTAAAAACGTTCAATGAAAAAATCGTAGTCGGTACTTATTTTGCGAGCTTAAAATATTMGAATACCTTATTACAATGAAAAGGTACATGTATGATATTTTATATATTATATATTTGAATATGAAAACTCTAATAGATATAGTCATGTAGATAAAGTGGAGTTACGCCTTTAATACAAGTGTGATGAGAATATATTTCATTATTCCATTAGGTATCCAATTATAATGCTAATTGTTTCGATTTGCGAAGGAAATTAAAAATATTGTACTCATCACACATATACGCTTCATTTTTTAATTAAAATTCAACACTTGATGATATCGCATATATAATAATCAACATGGTCATTCCTGCAGGGCAATTCTTTGAACATAGCTCAATAAATAATAGGTTTGTTGGTTTGTATCTGCTTAGATGAGTTTTGTTATCTATATGTATGATATAATCACCGTGTTCATCAATCATCACTAATTAGTAGAAATTGATCATCATCTTTGTACCTACCTCCTTTCTCTGAATATAAATGAAAATATTATCAGATAATAGCTAACAATAATTAATATTATAATATWATATTATTCACTTTTCGCTTATATAATCCGTTGGTTTATATATGTTCTAGTTGGATAACTTTTGTAAAATATAAGACAAAAGGAAAATGAAATTTTTTAATAATTATAAAATAATATAAAATCTTATCTACCGATCGACATTGCCATGTCWCTAATTCATATGCATTCATATTATTATATTATAACTTTTCTTTTAAATGATGTTTATTACTACCATTATAATATATTACATAAGTATTTTACTTACATAATAAATAATATGTACTTACATTTTCATTAGGTATTTGTTAAAGTTTAAAACTTGAAATTGTTCAATAACTTGTCATAAAAAGATATAATTGAATGAAAATGTGTACAATAACATAATGAATTTTTGGTTAACAGTTACTGTTAGTAGATCTGGTTTGAAAATTATTTATTTTATAGGTACCAATAGGTTTATCTGATTATGCCAATTCTSTCAAACTCATGCCTATATATTTGGATTTGATTGTTGAAATAAGCCATTCAATATAAATATGAAAACTTATTCAATGCAATAATTTTAAAAGCGGTGACATTATATAGACAAAAGGAAATACGAGCGAATAGCAAATTGGCTTACGCCGCAGCTACAAATGTTTGGKGGAGGAGTGTGCTTTATTGCCTTGGTCTCATCACTCTCGTCCTACTTGACTACCTATAGGTGATGCTATCAATAATAGYTATCACAGGCTCRGAAGAACCTAATAATATACTATACTCGCATAATAAATAATTATGATGTGCATGTGCTATGTATATACGTATGGGTACTTGCCTTTCGACGGCGTCCGTATACAGGGTGGACGACGCGATTGGCGGGGGCGGTTCCGGTTTCTTCTGTTTCCGGGGAGGCACGGGCGGCGGTGCCTTTACGGCCAGCCGACCGTCCACCATATGCAGCTTGACGACCAGCCCGGACTCCTTAAGGCATCGGACGCAATCGTCGCGGCTCATCCTGTTCACCGGTCGGCCGTTGATCTGGACGATCTCGTCGCCCGCGGCCAGCGGTCCCCATGACGCCTGAGTGCGGGACGCCGGGCTGCCGTCTGCGCATGACTGGACGAACAGTCGGTTGCACGTGTCCACGCCGTCAAACCGCAACCCAAAACCCAAACGCTCGCCGGGCAGGCGGTAGACGAGCACTTCTTCGGCCGCGCTACAGGTCGAACCATCCGCGGGGGCGTCCTCGCCGATGGACACCACGGTGACGAACGAATCTTCGGCCGGCTGAATTCCACCGCGGCCACCACCGTCCACCGATACGACGGTCACAAAGTCTTTCGCGGCCACTGTATTCATTGCGGTGGTRTGCGCTGTAGTTCTGTAAATACCAATTATAATATTATATTTTATTAATGGTATAGACTTTTTATGTATATGAGTATAAGTAGTCAATGATTGTTTATAACTGCAGTAAAACCTACTAACGGCTAATGTACACCTCCAAATAGCGGACAACATTTCAGCGACCAGTAGTGTCTGGTSTYTGGAGATTTCACTGTATAGGTATTATTATTATTTTATTATTTAATAACAATAACTGGAATGAGCCCAAGATATACAGAGGCATTGTGCAACTACACAAGATTAAAAACTTAAGTTTAAGAATGATGGATATTCATTGAGAAACTTGTCATTCTATAGCAAAGGGYTCGTTTCTTAAATAATTGGTTGAGCTGCAGCGATTGATAACTAAATAAACATTTTTATGGGTAGATCAAAATGGGATCTTTRAGTTTTTAAGTGGGTTTATGAAGGGAAAGAGCAAAGAAAGAGCACARAAAAATAGTTTTCTATGAAATAACAACGATTAAATAAGGAGGAGAGATTTAAAAAACAAAGGTGTTAATTTGTATTACGATATCTATAAAAATGTACAAATTAAAAACGATTATAGTTTATTTTGATACCGTAGTAACAATTCGTATCTATAAAATCCTCCGGAAACCGGTCGGATAAAATTCTATAGCATTAAATTATATTTGCTAAAATGTTCACTTAAAGACATATATTATACATCTATTTACAATAACTAGGATGAATAATTTATTAAACATATATAAGYGAACGAATAAAGTAAAAATGGATGAATCAACTTAAACTAATATWTTTTTTTTTAAGTTTAAATTCTATCGTATTGCATATTAATACAAGTTTAAAGAAATGTACAGTTTGCAAATATTTGAAATCAAAATAATAATTAGCCATAGTTTGTCATTTAACAATTAAAAATCGATGATATATTATTATTATTTTCTTTTTACTGCCGTACAATAATAGTGAATGGACCTAAATCAGAGGTATCATACACGTTCGAAAATATCATCTCTGTATAGGTACATCATATTATACGAAAATAATATATGTTGTATCTAAGTAGGTGCAGGGTAAGCGTCGAGAATAACGTCGGTGAAAAAAACACATGTGAGCATGTTATTATAACGGGTGACCTGGACTTGACTATACAACACATATATAATATGCGGATTTCAAGTGTGCCCGCCCATCGCAGGTCGGGCACGCGTTTGTTCGAGTTTTTATAAGCACATGTGTGTGTGTATATAAAGGTACACTTCAAGTTTAAGATGAATTCATTCGCCATGAAATCGCAGTGAAAGTATATACTTAAGACTTGGGAGTTTATATATAAATATATGCAAGATCGCGAGAGAAAAACAATATTATAATATTATCAAACGTTTATTATCATCATCATCATCATTATTATAATATTTACTTTCGTCAGAACCGTACGGGAAAGAAAGAAAGATATAGAAAGGTAATAATAATGATAACAACGAGAATAACGCAAAAATAATAAGGATAGTGTTTTTGCGTGCCCATGTATAACTATATTTCCTATACATACATTACATTGTATAGTGTATATATTTAAGTGCATTGCGTTCCATTTAAAATATTATAATTATATATTTAATGTGTTTTATATAGGTATAAACGCAAAACGACACGAGAAATATGATAATAATATTATGTTATAACGTAGATTCACGGGTCATTTGCTAGATATATAATGGCATGTTGTCTAAGTGAGGTAGGTACCTATATATTATGATGGACACATAATAAATCAGGAAAATTTCTTTTTAAAGCAAGGTGCTTGTTTTCTAGGACAATATCCGTGTCGTTCAACCAAGAAGATCGTATATACTAACAAATCATAAGACTTTTTCACCACTATAATAATATACAAWACCTATATAGATGTGCTTTGCTGACTAAATATTGTTTTAAAAACAATTATTATTATTGTAGTAAAAATACTACAGAGTGAATATTTTATTTGGTGAATTAGGTAATATCTTGGAAAAATAATTTATTTTTAACTTTAAGAATAAGTACGAGTACTTATAAATAATAACTACAGAAAAATATTAGTTTTAATGAAAAATAATTAAATTCTTTAGTTTTCTTAGTGATACCTGGTTCAAAATAAAAACCACATTATAATATAAATGCATTCCGTAAAACAATAAGTAACCACAAAACACAGTTAAAGTATCTATTGCGTTAAATAGCTTTTAATTAGCTTTTAGAAAATTTAACAGCCAATAATAATTACTAATATATAAATTTCATTTTATAGAATAATATGTAAGTATATAAATATAAGTATAGACATCCATAGCTAGCACTCGAATCCGAAAACGTTCGGGTGACCAAGAGCCCTACGGCTAAACTGTCCGCCTGCACGTCCGGCTTCGTCCTGGGCCATGATTTAATCCTTATATGGATATATAGTTAGCGATAAAATGTTTTATTGTATTACGTTTTGATGGCCGTGTCTACGGTGGTGTTTTATATGCAAGTGTGTCGTATTAAAAATGTATAAAACGGATTTTATCGTTTTAAAGCGTACGTACTCATGATATTTAATAAATAATAATGGAAAACTGCAGTAACTTTGCTTAGATGAAACTTTTTTTTTTTTAACGGAGGACTTGATCTGATGTATGTATAGTGTCAAGAGTACCTCTTTATTAAGTATATTTAATTTGAATTAAACGTTAAATAGTTGTTTACAAAAATGATTCTGACCAAAGGAGATGAATCAGCCAAACTTCTAAAGATATTTTATAATAAATTATACCTATTCAAATTATTAATTGTAAAATTTTAATTTACTAAACCATTTCAGGTTGAACTGATTTTTTTTTAAAAGAATACATATAAGTTAGTAACAACATACCGTACAACGTATATAGAAATATAAATATTTTAAATTATCATCAGTACAAGTACATTATCATTGAGCATAAAATGTGATAATATAAGTAACGGTGAGAACCTAACATTTTCTATAATATCATTAAGAATAATTTAAGAGGAAAACTGTATTCACAATAAAATGAAGATTCTCTTAAAATGTATGAATTCCTAAAATTATGATCTTCAAACGCCTATAAAAAAAAGTTGTGACGGCATGTATTTTCAATATTTTATTCACAG